GTCTTCGGGATCTGCGAGCAGGTACAAAAGATGTCCGACTTACCTGCACGCAAGCATTCCATGATAGTCCTTGACAACACAAATGAGAGTTGACACGATAGCCCACGCCATCATCCAGCCGGACATGTAATATGCAGGCTTGACGCGCGTAACCAGCATGTTTGACGGAACTTGTCCTGTGATATAACTGCCTTGATATGTCAGCAATGTTCTGGTGCAAACAATGTCTAGATCACTTGTGATTGTGTGACTGACCCAACGAAGAAGACGCTGACGCAGGTGTTGTACTCGGATCCTTTCATGTTGAGATCGTTGTCCAGGTTATTGAGCTTGCCGTTCACAATTGCATTTCGGTCAAGGAAGTTCAAGAAGTACATCAACCATAAAATGGGCTGGGTGGAGACTTTTGGTTTAGCTTCATTTTCATCTCTGGTCATTGAGTTTGTGGACAATTATTGGAGATGTAGGGATCGGCTTACCATGAGATAGGTGTCCAATTTCCGAACCAAGGCAATTTCTTTGGGATCAACTTTAGCAGCAGACCCAAACTTGTCAGGATGGGCTCGAAAGCCACCCTCTTTGGGACTTTCTTGGTGGTCAATATGATCGACGACTGCTTCATGGTCTTTGACCATATCGATGGTCATAAAATGTTGGTATGAAGACATAACTGACTGTAGAGATTATTACTGAATCTAAAGTGACGTGAGTCTGCTTCAATGCGCTGAGTTGAGAGGAGAATAATTATTCGGAGCTGTTCAAGATATTGCCTCTTAAATAATCCACATAACATCCTATCGGATCTCTGGTCAAACCGGAAAAGGCATCCTCGGGGCCGGAAACTTGCGAAGCACCATCGAAGAGACAACGACAGTGACTAAATGTATGGCAAACTCCTTCACATTACCCACCAATCAACGCCTTTGCTTACTATGGCCGACTATGATCATTGATGCGGCAGTTTGTTCGCCGTGGTTGCTAGGCAAATCCGGGGTGCAGCCTCCCCGTGGGGTAGGCACCTAACATTTTCTTATGAATGCCTAACTACTTCAGCTACGTGTCGAGAATGTCAAGGGCTGAGCGATACAACCCGACATTCGCGATATCCCGATGTCCGTCTACAGCCGCAGGAATTGGCCCGTCCATAGCCCCGAGGCAATCAAGGATGTACCAATGAAAGGTAACACTAGTGATGTAATGTTGAGTGAGTACATGATACATTACACCTCATACAAGTCAGGCGCTGGTCATCGAGACTTCGATTGTCTAACGGTGTCATACAAGAGCCGGGTATCACGTTGCTGACCTGCAATTGTCCGCACGTGGATGAAGACATCGTGTCTGACAAGTAAGATAGATACGATGCTGCTACAGGGCACTGCTGCACATCGTTCGGTAACATGAAGGTGGATCATGGATGCTCTCGTTACCTTGAGAACGCGGTTTCTGGTCATTTTAACTAATGCAAACATAAAGGGAGGCTGCACATGATGACCTAGATGGAACCGGATAAAGGTTGCTGCTGGTGTACCGTAAGATTCAGCTGATGTCTACTTTCTCATGCTAGAAAAGGCAGTGACAAGTCCTAGAGTATCGAAGCTTTGTTCCTCGAATGATCGATACGTGACGTGGGCGGTGAGATGCTGGGACAAGTACATATCAGCTATAAATAAGTCAAGACGCTGCTATCTTCCTGCAACAGCGTATCTAGCAATCAACTTTGTAAAGTCACATACCGAATCTTGCATGCATCTGATTTTCGGTGAATTGCTTGTCATTGATCATCTTTGTCGCCTCAAGTTCAACCTTTTCCCAGATGGAACTCCTAGTCGTCTTGCTAGGACTTTTCCTGTGGGCTGGCGCCACGCCGGTTCCGGAGAAGATGGACTCCATCTGGAATAAAGAAAACATTTGTCAAGATTGGGACTTTTCGACTGCGGAAGGTGTCGAAAAATTGTGGCAAGAAACTGCCGCGGGCTTTTCTCTTGATTTCTTCCTCGAAATAAGCCTGAGTAAGTCGACAATGCCGAGTCACAAACCTGTTGGCTCGCGTGCCTCATTCACTCCAACATTCAGAAGCTCATCCCATCACTACTACAGAAGACACAGGTGTGGCGTTCTCCCAAAATAAGGCAAACGAAGGCTGGACCACCAAGCTTGAACATAAAATACGAAGCAATGGTCGTCCTGGAGTCGGCGGCTGTTCGACAATCGGCGGCCAATGCAGCCCTTTTAGCGACTGGGACTGCGAGAGATACTATGATGAAACCAACAAGACTAGCTTTGGCACAAACTCATACTGGGTCTTCCAAGCCGTCATAGGGCTACACAGCAAGATTGACAAGATCAACGAAGAGATTACTCGACAAACCCTCGTGGAGAATTTGAAGATATCGCAGACGCTCAGTGAGTTCGACTCGCCGGACACGAAGGCTTCAAGTGTGTTCAAGTGGATTGCAGCCGCTGCATCGATGGGAGGCGGTCTCATGTCTTTGCCAGGAGCGGCAATGGTACCGGTATGTTCAGATACAACGTTCTCCAGCATTTTCAAATCTCACTACTTAAGTTTTACTGATTCCTCGCCAATGGACAGGGCCCTGCCGGATTCGTGACTGCAGGACTAGCTATCATTGGCAGCATCTCTTCTCAAATGGCCGATGCGGAATCGAAAGAGAATACAGAGGCGAATGATGTTGCAGTTGCCTTGGGGAATGCTTTTGAAAGCCTCACAAAAGGCCTCGAAGACATCCTTCGCGTCGCTACAGGTGGAGGGATTGATGACAATGAGTATAATGCTCTTCCTAGTCTTGGAAACGAGAGGGACAATTTCCTCAGCAAAGTTCCCGCTTTTCTGAACGGCGGTTGGCCAGTACTTGCTGAGAACTCGCGCGAATTCGCAAGCTGGGTTGGCATCATCAGTGATAACCTCAAGATGAAAGTGGCAACTGAGGCCATGAAGGCTTCGAAACTACATCTGGTGGCAGACAGGCACAGAGACGCCGAAACCAGAGAAGGATGTGGAACCGACATAGGCCGTCAGTGGATGGAATTGAGGAACGGCGAAGAGTACTGTTTCTACTTAATGAGAGAATCGGCTGACACCTTTTGGTACGAGGCCGAGCCCAGGATCTACGAAGCGATGGAGAGGCACGGCATTGGGAATCGAGTACCATTCTACGCTGCCATTATTGACTGCGCCCTCAATGGGAATGGCGATGGCGTGGAGATTGGAGGTGGAATAGGAAAGATACCTCGATGCTACTTCGACCTCCCGGCAGTCTTTTACGACGAGAGCGGGAACTGCGTGGATCCTACCAATGATGGCTGCAGTCCAGTAACAACTTCGCCGCTCTCGTAGGGTCTCGCAGCCGGTGGCCGGCTCGAGCCTACGAGTAGGCTCTGGGCGCAATGTCAATATGGAAGAGTGTGTTCTCACTCACCATCTTCCAGACACTACCTACGTCACGTAGCACTGTATCTTGATTACGTGATTGAGGAAGTAGCAACTGCGGAAGAGAATCAAACATTCGTTAATCGCTTTGAATCGACTTCAAAGGGTTCTCATACTTAACGTGATCTTGTCGAATCTCTCTTTACTGATTGTTGCAAAGTAGTGGGGATGACTGGCTTCAGCACGCATGCCTAGGGGCTGGGGCGGCGTCAACATTTACAGTTCATGTAGCACTATAAGGTAAGTCTTGGATTTGCTAAGCTCCCAATCAGTGCCTCCCTTATTCTTGAACTGCTAGAAAACTGAAGCATGACCGAGAAGAACTTCCAAACAAACACGAAAAGACACAGAGTTGGGTTGCTTTGGGAATCTCGCGTTCTCTGTGACCCTGTCCGTTCCTGTCGCTCTGCGGGTCAGATGACAGAGTAGGAACTTGCATTGACTAACCGACTGCAAGCCATGGGTTTCATATTCACATACGTCCCTCGCGTATTCGCTACATCAGAAAATCGTTTCTAGATTCTAGGAGGTGACTAGGATTTGGCGGTCGAATTGATGAGAATCTCGGCCATGGTTTTCGTCATGGCGACGGACTGAAGGCCCCAGGCGCAGGCCTGTGTGATGGCTCGGTACAAGTCATTGCAGCGCAAAAAGCATGAACATCATTCGCATGTATAACTATCAGTAACTGCCAGAGGTCCGTCTATAACCGGGGTTGGGGGCATGCGGGATCTTGGCCAAGGCGCATGAAAGTGCTTGTAAGCATGGCCGGAGGAGAATCCCACCACTCAAATAATTCCCAAATTATGCTGAGAGTGCAGTTCCGAAGTAGGTATTCTCATGAGAATCGCATACAACCCATATCAAGTACGCGAGGCAATATACGCACCTAGCCCCTACGCGACGCACAATGCAGATCAGTTTCTGGTGACAAATCGAGAAACAAATCTACAGTTCAGTATTTCGGGCATTCCTTTGGTACTAGCCCATTAGTCGAAGATCCGCCACTGCATACACTCTGATGACTGGCTGTCTCCCAGCCCTTCCTGCCTGCTGGTACCTGTACGTGTTGAAGGTACATTGAGGTGCAGCAATTGCGGCTTTTCGGTCCCTCTTCATCGAGAACTTGAAGGTTTCCATCTAAAGCCAACACGACACAGGCGCAGAAGTACGAAACAGTCACAGCCGCAAGCCTGGCACACTGAAAATCACAAGGGCACTAGCATCCTAGTTACACCTCATTGGTGGTAACTGATCGCCCGTAGACCACCGCCGGTTATAGACGCTTCGGAGCACCCGGACCCCGCACCCGGAAACCTAAGCAACTTGCATCAGCGGCCCGGAACGGAAGCGGAACGGAATTGTCGCGCGGATACGCTCAACGCCGATCAGGTCGCAGGGAGCCGGCGGTGCGAGATGATTGTTAGTACATAAGTCAAGTTGGTTCCACATCAAGTCGGGACTCTCTCTCTCATCACCGAATGGACTCCAAGCCAGTACGACATCCATCCTGTTTCTAACTGATGCACCTCTCTTTGGCTTCTTCATCATGGCAACTCAGACGACGACAGTGACCCAACTCAAGGTTTCCGCTCAGGATCGTCCTTTCTTCACCCTCGACGAGCTCATCAAGAGACGGGCACTCGAACTCGGTGATGCGCCCTTACTTGGGTACCCTAACGAGGGCCTTCTAGATTTCGAGGAGCACAGCGCTCGCGCCGTGGACCGGTATGTCGACGCCGCCGTGCAGAGGCTACAGCAGCTGGGTCTATCCTCCGTTGTAAGCCGTGCTACCTCTTCACTATTTCAGTCAAGCTTTCACTGACTTGTAACTTGATGAGGACTCAAATTCTGAGAAGGCCCCCGTGATAGGAATCCTCGCTCACTCCGGTTTGCATGTCGTCATCACGATTATGGCTCTTAGCCGGCTAGGATACGCAGTGTTTCTTGTCTCGACGAGGCTTCAGAGCCCAGGAATCGCCCGCCTTTGTGAGTTGGCGGACTGCAGTACCATGCTCACCACATCAAATTTCCATCCTGTTCTAGCCGAAGTTCAGCAGGAACGCGAGCTCGATGTTTTGCCACTGCTGTCTCACTCAGACTACTACGGCAGAGATGCCCCCGTGTTTTCCAGAACCTATGACCCGGAGCGAGAATCGAGGAAAATTGCCGCCATCATCCACTCCTCCGGTTCGACAGGCCTTCCGAAACCAATCTACCTAACTCACAAGAGCTGCATTGGGGCCTTTTCCGTTCACATGAATATGAAGGCCTTTATTGTATCACCCTTATTTCACAGCCACGGATTTTACGAGACATTTCGCTCAATCTACTCAAAGAAGCCCATCTATTATGGTAACTACAATCTGCCTCTGACGAGACAGAATCTCATCCAGATGATCAACTACGTCAAGCCTGAAATCTTCCACGTGGTTCCCTATGTCGTGAAGTTACTAGCTGAAACAGACGAGGGTATCCAGGCGTTGGCAAGTGTGAAACTCGTTCTCTTTGGGGGAAGTAGCTGTCCAGATGACCTTGGCGACCGTCTGGTCAGTAACGGGGTCTATCTCGTCGGAAACTACGGATCGTAAGAGCAACCCTTGCCCACCCTAATTTCTTCAGCCTCGTAGACGCTCGCACTAACGAAGTAAAGAACTGAGGTAGGCAGATTGATGAACTCCGTTCGTCCGCCAGGCGATAAAGCCTGGAATTATCTGCGTCCTCTCCCCTCCGCCAAGCCCTACGTTCTCATGGATGAGGTCTCTCCCGGGATCTACGAGTGTGTCTGCCTCGACGGCATCCCCTCGAAGTCGACATCGAACTCGGATTCGCCACCAAACTCATTTCGAACGCGTGATCTCTTCGTGAAACATGCCACGCAGCCCGACTGGTGGAAGTATGTCAGCAGACTTGACGACAGGTTCACTCTGATCAATGGCGAAAAGGTGCTCCCTATTCCCATCGAAGGGAGAATCCGCCAAGAGGAAATTGTCAAAGAGGCTATAGTCTTTGGCGAGCAGAGAAGTTATCCCGGTGCTCTAATCGTCAAGGCGGACAATGCTACGAGCCTAACTGATGCGGAGTTCGTTGAAGCGATCTGGCCGGCAGTTGAAGCCGCGAATGCGAAAGCCGAGTCATTCTCGCGCATACCTCGAGAGCTCATCATTGTGCTTCCATCGGAGACACAGTACCCCCGCACTGACAAGGGAACCTTTATTCGGGCGCCGTTCTATCAGCAATTTGAAAAAGAGATACAGATCGCCTATGACAGGTATGAGAATGAAGAAGAAGGAGGCAGGTTGTCTCTTGCGGGCCAAGAGCTAGAGATCTGGCTTTTGCAGCAACTCAAAAAGCAGTTGGGTATCGACTTACCATCTGCCGACGCAGATTTCTTCGCTTCTGGCGTTGATAGCCTCCATTGCATCCAGATGTGGAGTCTGATCAAGAGGGAAGTCGATTTGGGTGGTCGTCAAAGCTACCTGGGACAGAACGTTCTCTACGAATCTGGAAACACCCGAAAACTCTCTGAACATCTCGTTGCACTGAGAAACGGTCAAGTCGAAGCGGTTCAAGATGAGCTACGAAAAATGCAGGATTTGGTAGCCAAGTACTCCTCCATCACACCGCACGTCGCTTGTACAGCCCCGAAACCTGAGAAGCATCTCGTGGTAAGTGACACTAGTTCCACCGCGACCTCAAGACATCACTGATATCGCCTTCACAGTTCCTCACTGGAGTGACAGGCGGCTTAGGAGCTCATCTTCTTGGCCAACTCGCTGCCCTCCCTACCGTATCCTCAGTTTGGGCAGCCGTCCGCGCACCCGACGATACCGCCGCAGCATCTCGCATCGCACACTCACTTACCTCGCGCGGCATATCCCTAAGCCCCCTCCAACAATCTAAAGTGGTGCCATTATCCTGTGATCTAGGCCTCCCAGATTTCGGCATCGGTGCCACCCGCATCGCCGACCTGAAGTCGAGGCTCACAATCGTAATTCACAGCGCCTGGGCCGTCAACTTCAACATCCCCGTACAGAGCTTTGAAGACCAGCATATAAAGGCAGTACACAACCTCATCCAGCTGTGCCAGTCCGTCGAGACACCCAATCCTGCGCGGTTCTTCTTCTGCTCATCCGTCTCCGCGTCAGGTGGGTCGCCTAGGCACGGTAATGTGCCGGAGGGACCGGTCCCGACGCCGGCATGGGCGCAGGGAACGGGCTATGCGCGGTCCAAGTGGGTGTCTGAGCATATCACGCGTAATGCGAATCTGAACGCCGGTGCGCCTGCAAGAGTCTTGAGGATCGGGCAGCTTGTGGGTGACAGTAAGGTCGGTGAATGGAACACGACTGAGGGTATTCCATTGATGATTCAGACGGCTGTCACGCTTGGTTCCTTGCCGAATCTAGATGAGGTGAGTCTTGCGCGAACAGTTTGGGGAAAGCGATGACTCTGATGTGGTATTAGGAGATGACTTGGCTGCCCGTCGACCATGCTGCAGCGGCCATCTTGGAACTCGTCAATGCCGACGCGACCCCGGAACCGAGCGAGCGCGATACCGATCCCGACTTGGTGTACCACGTCCTTAACCCGACGCGCTTCCACTGGACCCGTGATATGCTTCCATCCTTATCCGAAGCTGGTCTGCGGTTTGAGATACTCCCAACTGAGCAGTGGATGGACAAGTTGCGGCAGTCTAAACGGGACCCGAAGAAGAATCCGCCGATCAAGCTCCTGGATTGGTTTGAGAGCAAGTATGGACGTACGGCTTCTGCGAATAAGGGGGTCCTGGCATATTCAACGGCGGAAACTGAGAGGGACAGTACAACGTTGAGAGAACTACCGGATGTCACGGATGTAAGGTTCATCACGACGTTGGTCGAGAGGCTGAAAGCTGGATGGGCGGCGGACGATAGCGCATGAGGGAGTGCGGGTGTTTCTATTCTTTGTTTAAATCCTGGACCATCTCGGAAATCGAGAGGATTGCCCATATTTGCCATCTAACAATCACCACAATTTGATCGGGCTGTGACTACTTCTTTCCTCATGCAGGAGCGTTCCAAGATGAACATAGATGAATTCTTCATACTTGATAAACGTGTTTGAGCGCGAAAAGAATGAATGCCACTGCGCAATTGGCCTCCATCATCACTCAAGGTTCCATGACCTTTGCCAGATTCACCCCATTGAGCCAGACAGAAACTGAATCTAATGCACCGTGTCGCTTGCCATCACGAGGCCCAATTTCCCATTCTAAAATGTCATAAAATCAAAGCCGTAGCCCCCCCCAAAATGCGCCATATCCCTAGAGTTTTGGTATCTACAAAGCCCATGTGGTATTTACAAAGCAGCAGCAGCGAGAGCGACGGCGCCTAGCATGCCGTAGTATGCGTTCGTCGGTCGTGCAGCGGCGGCGGGTGTAGCGGTGGCAGACGCGGCGGCGCTGCTGCTAGCGGTAGCGGCCGCGGTACCGAGGACGCCGGTTACGAGGTTCGATGCCGATGCGAGGTCGGATGCGGCCGGGTTGCTCTGAACTTCGGAGCAGATTGATGGTGCGATTTTTGCAGCCGCTATAAGAGCTTTGGTTAGCCACCTATACAATGAATGCGATACGAGTTACAGGGTGCGCAACATACCGGCGATCTCTGTTGTGGAGCAGCCAGCAGTGAGCACGCAGGGCGTCAGGCTGGAGATGAGCTTGTCCTGGCTGGCGCACAAGCAGGTGAAGTCGGTCGCGGAGCAGCCAATGTTGCTGGCGGCGGTGCTGATGCAGCCTACGGCGCAGCTAGGGAGCTGGGCGATGAGGCTGGCCAGACCAGTTGAGCTGGAGGATGCGGCGGAGGTGGTGGCCGACTGGGCGGCGGCAAGGCCGGAGAGGAGTCCGAAAACGATGGCGTACTTCATGGTGACGGTGTTGAGTAGTTCTTCGCTGAAGAGGCTTTGGGATGTCAATCGAGTGATGAGCGAGATCTTTGGTGGCTGATCAGAGGTTCATAGGATGATCAGTATGTTTGTTCGAGGAGTCAAGAACGATGTTTGATCGTAGTGACAGACGAAATGAAGAACAATTAGAGGCCTGTAAAGAAAAGTGGCACTTTCAATATTGCTGCTGCAGGTATGAATCGTTTGTGAAAGACCAAGGGGTTGACTGAGAAGGCACAGAAGCACAAGTCGAATCGATGGGAAAAGACGATTGATTTAATATACTGGAAACGATCATCTCTGGAGATGAACCTTGAGGAGCCACAAGGGAGGTCCAGACTCAAATCTTAACACAACCAAGAACCGAACGACGCTGCCCAGCGAGATACGAGACGTGCGCCAAGGGGCAGAAGAGAAGGATTCAATACGACGGGTTGCTGCTGCTAGGCTCAAATTCGGTACGCCGCGAGTACGAATAGTCAATCTTAAAGCCCTTGGCTGAAATTGAAGCTGTTTGGCTCCGTGCGATCAGCGGAGTTTACCAAGCAACTAAGAGAGCTCCGGTTTTCTTGCAACACTGCCTCGATGCCGCGCGGTCCATCCTTGGCGGCAATGAACAGCGTGTTTGTTCTATGGAGCAGCGTTGGCGATGGCCAGTTGCAGGTTGATGGCGGAATAATGCACGCCAGACTGGTTGGTCAGCACCTGTTATGGTCTATTCTGTCCGTTGTAGATGCTCAACGAGCGAGACCGAGCAAGACGTCAAAGTTTGAAGGCGGCGATGGCGTAAGCTTTATTGAGTTCGGACGAGGCTTCCTGTGGCGATTCAATGTTGTCTATCCTGCATGACAGATTTCATCCAAACGCAGGCTGCAGCTCAAAGTCTAGATCTCAGGGTTCTAGATACGCGTTAGAACACCCCGTCTGTTCACCCAGGTCAACCAGGTCACTGCTCAACCCGCGGGAACCGGACGAACAGAGTGTGGAAGGGAAGAAAGAAAGAAAGGGGCTTCACTGCATATCTTTGCCCCCGTTTCAACGTGATGTCATTCTTATTTTAGCGGTTCACCCCTGACATGACTCCGCCGGATTACTGCTTGGCAAGGGGTCCCTAGGCTCGCGGTAGATGTTCAGGCGCTGGCTCACTCATCCCCAGTGAAGGAAGTGTAGCACTGACAGTTTGTCGCTCAGTGAGTTTCGACTGAGGGTCATTCTTTGCCATCCCAGGCTCACTGAAATCTCACCCACCGTGCAGCCAATCTCATTCATTTTCACTGGACCGGAGAAATTCGGGCAGTGTTTGATTGGCATGAAACACCTAGCGGATCCCTTGTCAGCTGTCGTCTCAAGCGAGGGAACGCAAGCTTTGGCACGCCGGCAGTCTTCAGATGGCGGTGCATCCTGATCTTCGTTTGAGAAAGGTTCACCCTGTATCCATCCGCCTGTGTATGCACGCTGTAATGCATACACTGCGGCGCGGATGCTGCCGATTGTGTCAATCGCACGAGTCGGCAGAAGGAACTGCTAGAGTAGCTAGCTCACTCGCGGAGATCGTGTTCGCATGTGAAGTTGTCTATAAGATGAAATGCCCCAGGGGAAGCTTCGCGGCTGGTGACTTAGCCTTGAAGTACAGCCCAGTACTTTGAAACCGTCTCATCCAGGAGGACTCCAGCGGGAACACTGCTGGCTGCAACGGAATGCTGCTACTCCGCTGCATCAGCTACCGGCACCGCACTCGGTTCCACGGCCGGCAGATTCGGAAGCGGACCCAATGCATCGCATCCCGCCTGCTCGCAAAGGAGTGTCATTGGGCCTTACAACGTCTGTTGTCGTCAGCTGGCTCGAAACTTACCTGTTCATGCTCAGCACCTCGTTCGTTCGTGAGAGGGGCTAAACAATGGGCGGTGCTTTGCAAATGCTGAGAATCGTTTGCCCTTCCAGTCTGGCTCGGAATACCTCGCTCAAATATTTCCATCTCACGCATGTCCTATTACTCGTCTTTCAAACAGTCATTTCATTGGCCATTGACTCTCTTACCTCCCCAACTTTTGAGAGACCATGCTCCAGCTCAATGACTCTCTTCGTTCATACACAGCCTTCCTCGGCATCGCCTGGCAAGCCTGCTCACCCTGAAGCGTGAACCAAGTCAGCTCAAACGCACAGAAGGTGGCAGGTGAGTGCCACAATAGTTTGTCGCTCAACACCCTAGCTATCTCAACTCTTCCCCTTCCTGCTACTAGTCTACCACTACTCTGGTGTTGGCCGGCATTGACTTCTTCTCGTCGCCCACTTGAATGGCCAAGAAGATCCTAGGGAATGGAGGCGGTGCAGCCAGGCTAGACGTGATGTCATTTCGCCTATGCATTCCCGACCGAATTTCAGCTTCTTTCGGTCATTGAACTCAGGTGAGAGTACGTGTGCTAAGACTCGGCTTTCGAGTGAGATATGCAGGAGCTATTTTCATGATCCCAAGCTTCACCCCAAGTGTACAAAGGTTTCATTCATAGTCAGGTGCCTAAAAAACTCACGTGTGAGATTAGGCAATTGAAGTCTTAGCCGACTTCATGTTCGCGATTGATGGGGCAGTATGGCCAAGCCACGACGGAGGCCAGGTAATACTCCATACAAAGCATACAGTATGACTCAGCGAATAAATGTCTGCAAGCCTCTGAAGAACCCGGTCGGCAAAGCGTAGCGGTGCCGACGGCAAAAAACTCACGGTGCCGAGCTTTTCGGTGTCAACGCCGGTTTTCAGGACCCACTCCGGGAGATACTGGCAACCGCCGGCACCGAAGGATTGGCTGCCGTGTATAGAGCATAACGGCGACTGACGATACAAACTACAATTCTCCACCGGCAACATCATCTTGATCAGGTTTTCTCTATAAAAGACAAGATTCTCCTCAGAGTAATTGCTCAACAAACACTTTTACATCGTATGATCAAGGCATCATGCCAGCGACAGAAACCGACCCGCCTGTCAGCGGCGTAACGCCATCGTCTTGCCATCTTATTTGGGAAGATCTCTCTCTCGTTATCAACAATGTCAATCTTTCAATTTCTACTGTCCGCCGTGACGGGCCGCTTGATCCCATACTCTTCCTCCACGGCTTCGGGAGCACCAAAGAAGACTTCACGGATGTAATCCATCACGCGCCCCTTTCCGACTATCCTTTACTCGCTTACGATACCCCCGGCAGCGGTGCATCCACCAGCTCCGACTACAGCGCCATCTCCATACCATTCCTCGTCGCCGTAGCTGAGGCAGTTTTGGACGCTCACAAGATCAAACGGTTCCACCTCGTGGGCCACTCCATGGGCGGCTTGACAGGCTTGCTGTTAGCACAGCGCAACCCAGGCGCGGTACTAAGCTTCACCAACATCAAGGGCAATCTTGCTCCCGAGGACTGCTTCTTGAGCAGACAAATCTTCGACTTCCCGGCAAGCGATACGGAGATGTTCATCGCATCCTTTATCGAGCGGACTCGGCGATCAGCGGATTACGGGAACGGGATTTATGCAGCAAGTTTCCGTTCTAAGGTCAGGCCGGAGGTAGTAAGGCCAACTTTCGAGTCCATGGTTCATTATACCGACAAAGGAGACTTACTGGAGGTGTTTGAAGCACTTCCGTGTTCAAAGATGTTCGTTTTCGGTGTATCCTACAACACATTATCCTATCTCTCACGGATCAAACATGCGGGCGTCAAGCTAGCCGAGATTCCAAACAGTGGACATTTTGTTCTGTACACCAATCCTATGGCGGTCTGGAGTCAAATGGGAAGTCTTATCAGCAGAGCTTCATAATAGCCACTATTGTTTTGTCAGCCGTCGAAACATACAAATTTCATCACTCAAGATTGTATTCCAAGCAAATGTCAACGGCCCGCACTGACTAGGAGATGCCCAATGTGTACCGAGATGCTGGAGCAAGTCCTGAAGACCATTCTCTGCGAATGCTTTCGATAACATCCCAAAGTTCTCAGCTTCTTCCTCAAGCTGTGGACAACATTCTTAGCACCTGAAATGCTGCATAGCGTCAATATAAATAGATCTACTATTACGAATATTGGCAAGAATGAGTGTACTATTCTGATTTTAACTCCTTCATACCAGCCTAAAGTAAGACAGAAATGGACTAGAATTGAAAACTGCAAGCTAGAGACGGATGAATTGAATTTATCTAATAGTTGATCAAATACGAGTACTCATCTGGCTCTCGAGATCGTTGAGATCTACGTGAATGACTGTCGTAGGAAAAGAATCCTGCACATTTTCCCAGATTCATGAAGCTAGAAACAATCTGTCTCTCCTTCCTCCTAATAGGGTTCTTGAAAGGTCCAGCAATGAGAAGCATCTTGGCATTCGAGACCAAGATCCTTACATTCCAGGCAGATGACGAAGTCACCTCCATCGCACAAGCTACAGGTGTAGAATGCCTGCTCATCGGTACAAGTCATGCAAATATCACACCACGCTGAATCGCAATCGAAGTTCGCCCCTTGTGCGCCAAGCTCGTTGTTCTCCGGAATATGAATCTTGAGCATCAATGCATGTTGCAAGACCGATTCGATGACTTGGGTGCTGCCACTTTTTCGTGCCCACCACATCGAGCTTCGCCCTAGTCCATCTCGAGACTCAAATGATCCCTCGTCGACTGAGAGCAGATATTTGACGGCTTCTTCATGCCCATTGCGACAAGCTGCAGATAATGGGGTTGATCCATACTGATCCGTGATCTGAAGGTCCAGTCGATTCTGAGTGGTTAGTATTTGGATTAATTCGTAATGCCCGCGGGCCGATGCATAAAATACTGGTGTTCGGCCACTGTTATCTCGTACATGGGTACTGCACTTAGGGCTCTGAAGCAGCAACTCTGCAACTTCTGTATGCCCGCTCAGAGCTGCAGCGTGTAGAGGCGTCCACCCACGCTCGTCAGTTAACCCTACATCTACTCCCTCAGCAAGAAGTAGTTCAATCACCCCAACGCGTCCGTTATACGACGCCTCGTGGAGTAGCGTCCATCCTGCGTAGGCTCGCAAGGAACCATCATTACGAGAGTCGCTAAGAAGCAGCTCAGCAAGCTTGCTGTTCATGGCAGCTGAAGCTGAGTAAAGTGGCACCATTCCGGCTTTGTTGGCCCGAGATACGTCGTCGCACCGACTAAGAAGTAGCTTGGCTACTTTTTCAAGCCCGCAACTCGATGCCAAGAAAATCGGTGTCCATTGGCTATCGTCCACAGCGTTCGAGTCAGCGCCATTGTCCAGAAGTAGCTCGACAATCTCTAGATGGCCACGACTTGATGCTATATGCAGCGGCGTCGTTGAATTATTGGTTACAGCTGCGACGTCGGCGCCTGCACCCAGAAGCATTTTGACGATCTCATAGTGACCACCATCAGAAGCGAAATGTATCGATGACCATTTGCTAAGATTTGCGTGGTGAACATCAGCCCCCTTCCTCAGGAGCAAGTTGACAATGTCTAGGTGTCCAAAGTGAGAGGCAGCATTAAGCGGCGACCAACCATCATTACTCCGGGTTAGAATTTCGGCCCCATTGTCGAGGAGCAGTTCAATCACATCGAAGTGTCCGCAGTGAGAGGCCGCATTGAGTGGTGTCCAACCGCCATCGTTAGCAACAGTGACGTTAGCTCCCCTTTCAAGCAACAACGCGACGACGTCGAGATGGCCGTAGTAGGAAGCTACGTGTAGTGCCGTCCAGTTGTAGTTATTTGTTTTCTCGCAGTCTGCGCCTCTATCGAGAAGGAGTTCAATAACCTCATAGGCTCCAGAAAACGAAGCTTCGATGAGAGGTGTCGACCCTGTGTGATTCGACATTGAAATATCGGCCCCCGCATCCAGAAGGATCTTTGAGAGTGTCAAATTCCCAGCGTTGCCTGCAATCTCAAGAGCTGTTCTACCAAACGGCGCCTTGGCATTCACATGATGCTTCTCGTCGTGGATGAGGCAGGAAGCAAGCTCAGTGAAGCCAAGACGGGCAGCGTAGTGTAAAGGACTAGCATGGTGAGGTTCAGTTGATGAATCAGCTCCCAAACCGAGCTCTACGCTATACTTCTCAAACAAGTCACGCCACATTTCCCAGCTGGGATTGAGTTCATCGAACAAATTCATCATGAGCATTGTCAGTTCTTCGTCTTCCTCATAACCGACGGTGGAATGCTGATACCATGAACTCGCGGCGTAGTGTCGGAATGACCCCTTGACGCTCACTTGAAGGTTTTCTTCCTGGGTGCTTTCCATTTGAACCGTCGAATTGATCTTCTCTTCGAAGTCCCAGAAGTATTGACTGTTGATGTAGCGAAGGCAAAGCTTTGCTAGCCTGCTGTTTTGTTGAAGCTCGTTTAAGACTTGACTGTTCATGCGAATCGATAGCGATTGAGATGAAATGTTGCAAAGAAAATGTTGTTTGACTGAAAAGTGAGTCAAGTGCACCGTCCTTGACCCCCTGTTAGAATCCGAAGATGTACCTCGAACTTCCAAAAGCGAGCCGCAGGGGCTTTGTATTTCGCTTTCAATGAAGTCGTCATCAACTTCATCGGGCAACTCATCCTCAGGGAAGTTGAAATCTTCCTCGTCGATCAACATAGCCTCGGAGATTTCGTTGACGGTCAAGGGCCGCAGAGCAAAAGCCGCCCATTGTAATAGAGAATAGGCACGTTTACGGATCGGTTCTGGTAGTTTAGAAATGCGTGTCCAATTTCGTTCATAAACATGATCAAGTCCAGACGGTATTTCATTGATCGCATCCTCAAGTTGCTTCTTGTTCTTCCAGCTGCGCAAGGAATCTTCGTGTAACTTGACCCAGAGGAGTTGGCCATTGGACCGATCCGCAAGCATCTTGGAGATACCTTCTCTTGTTGCTTCGTCCTTTCTCGGCAGCTTCTTGTCGACAATACTTCTTGCGTATCGAGCAACGTCGGATTGCACGTCTTCAGAATCGATTTTGAGTTCCTCGCAGTTTTTTGAGCACATCATAGCACTTCGAATCTCAGGCTCGTCCCGACTGACAACTAGGAGGCGAGATGCTGTGTTGGTAATTGCCCCAATCACGGTGTTGAGAAACTTCCCCAAGGACTTCCCGTCATGCGGAGCCTTCCCCAACCAAGTACACTCATCCAAGCCATCCAAGACCAAGATGGCTCCAGGTACGACTTGCAAAATTTCTCGAAAGATACTGACGATTTCTGTCTCGGTGGCGAATTGTTCGTTTTGAGCTAGCCACTTTTCTCGCACCAACTGGTAGGTAGTCTGGTCGGACGATGCCATCTGGTGGACCCATGCTCGAATCGCCGCATAGGGATTGTCGCGGCTTTCGAATTCAGATGACAAGAAGAAATAGACCACAGGCGTCTGGGATATCGATCTCAAATGTTCGATGATTCTCGCGCATAGAACAGTCTTTCCAAACCCGGCTGGTCCATTGACCCATAGGAGCCTTTCGGTATCATCGACAATTTTACACGCTTCGTTTAGAGCAAGCCACTCAACGAATTCGGGACGGTCAATAATCCAATCACACGTCCCATTGATTCTTCTCTCTTTGGCTTCAGGAAAGAGATCGTTCGGCGGTGGGCATGCTAGCCAGGCCCGAAGGTCTCGTCGAGTCTCGGCTGCAGTCGCCGGCGTCAGTCTTAATCGCAGTATTTCGGGAAGTTAAGGCGAAGAATCTCGATATACCTTCCATCTCCCTTTCCAACCGAGACAAGGTCTGTCGAAGCTCGCGAAGCCACGTCTGTTTCTCAATATCGTCATCTAAGCCAGATGGTCTTGTCAGATTTGTCTGATCGTGAACTTTCGTATGTGACAATTCGATATCAGGATAGTACAACTAGGCTATCTCCAGCATTGACAGCCGATGCTTGAACTGTGCTTGAGCTCAAGGGGACGCGGGCGTAAAGACACACCTATTCCATAAGCACAAGTCTCATTGGACTTATTGGTAGCTTCCCCATTTGGAAATGAACTATCTGGAGGAACCAGGTTGTGCAGATGCTGGACGAGAACTCCGAGGTTTTCGACTTGAGAAGTGCGTCTAGCCTTGCCCCTCAAGGACCAAACAAGCTTTTGCCTCCTTGATTCTGATGACTTTGGAAAGGATTGGATGCCGCGAGTGACGGTTGCTAAATTTTCATCCAGCCCGAGTTCTGATGTTGTTACGTCACCACAGATTGCCTTGATGACACTAAGCAGCTCTACTGCCATCAAGCGGACCTGCGGGTCATTCAGAGCGGTGTGGTGGTCGTTCGAGAGCTTCCCTTGCCGGAACCCAACATCGCAGGCCCATTTTTTGAGGCGAAGCTTTTCCGCATCGAGCTGTACAGCGAGTGAACGTGAATCACGGTCGAAATCTTTATATATGTCGACTCTCTCGATGACATCTAGACAAGTGCTCAGAATGCCCGCGAGCCCAGCGATTCCGACGGCTAATCCAACCGGCTCCATTGTCATTGATATTGAAATTGGACTCGGAATTGCGATGAGAAAGAAATGAGGCTGCTGAGGCTGCCACCCTTAGATGAGGGGAAATGGCATCCCGCTCTTGTCTCTCCTGTAGCCTCGTTGATTGGGCCTGCATGCAGTCATCTGCCCGGGCATTGATTGGTAGAGAATCGATTGCCGCCCAGCACAATTCTTTTTTTTTGCCTGCATTAGGCCAAGTTCAACGTGCCACAACTTCACAATCCATCTGATTGTCTTTCGACTGGTGAGAGAGGATCATTGCTTGGCCGTTGCGGAGGATGCAGAGATGAGTACAAGCTAAGATATCTTAGCAAGTGGGTGACAAAATGGGACGCCGGTCAACAAATGATTATAATACGTACTTACCGATGAATTATCCTTAATTTTTCGTATTCTTCTTGTTTCCAAGGTCTCTTGTTGCTTTTATCTTGCAGTTACTTATTGGAGAATAAATGGTGCAGGGCGCTGAGCCGGGAGTGTGGTGTTGAACCGACTACCAGGCATTGAGATCTTCCGCTTGACAAAAACAAAAAAGAAGAAAAGGAAGAAGAAAGAGAGGTATTGGACAAGATGGGAACGGCACTACTGCAAAAGGTGACACTTCCATATTCCAATGGGCCAAGAACATCAGCATCGTGAATGGTGTGGACTTCCACATCGTCTTTCTCCTACATTGCCTCGATTACTTGGATACGGCGGGCAAACTCTGCCAGACCAACGACGATCTCAAATGGGCTCGAGCTACCACCAGGAACAATATCCAGCATGGTACCTTCGATACAAAGAAGCACTTGCTGAGGCTCATCTTTACAAATCGCCACGTCCGAGCATTTTTTATGCGGACCTGTCGAGTCTTGCAACGAGTGCTAATGAATCTCTTTATAGCGTTTGCCCATCGGCGTAGACGACGTCGGCTGTGATTGCGATGAGAGAAGATTGGCGTATCAAGATAGAGTGTACGATATGATCTACAGAACGTCCGAAGACGACTTGTTCAAAAAAGCGAATATCAGTCGCGGGGAGTACAAATTGCGGAAGAAAGCAAACAAGGCTTATGCACTCAGCAAAGGGCAAAGGTCACAGGTACGCAAGGCAATGGAAGCAATCCGGGAGGGGGTTGACGCAGCGCTTCAGAAGGCATCACTCAAGAAAAATCTACCACTCCGCCAACTCCCAAAGACTCGAGGAGATGTTATATTCAGCTACTATTTGTTGGCTCCAGATGAGATCGACACATGGACAAGCATCCAAGACGCTGAGGATGATTCGGACAACGCCGTCGACATGGATAATCCATTTGATGGGTCATGAGGTGTTCATTTTTGGGTGCAAGATTATAATTCTCCTGATGGAATTACTGCGAAAGCACGTGGACCCATCAAAAGAACGAGGTCCTTCATCACGAGGAAATCAACCCTCTTGGAAGGGGAGATTACTATCGGCCGCCTCAACATTGGCTTCGTCGACTGCCTTTGCCCGCGAACCGTAGGGCTCTACGACACCAGGTCAGATCACTTGTACGAAGGTCACAAGGTGAAGGTTCAATTCATCAACGATGATTACCTTAATCTTGATTTGGACTCTACCATATTTGCAAACAATTCCGGCCCAGAGTCGCCTTGGCCATCAACTGTCAAACCAGATCGCCGGTTTTACGGAGTCACAAAGACTAAGAGACGGAGTCTTCTGGACCAAAGAACTTGGGAAGGAGGAGGCACGAGTCAAGAAGAGAGGACACAAGCTCCACGCGTGACAGGAAGACGGAGTGCAAACTAGCCAATCTAATGGGGGCGCATTACAAGACTCGGTGCTCTCAATGGAATATAACTGTGTAATCATCTCTATCAATGGAAAACTAGCGCCTAGAAAGTTCCCACGACAGTAGCATTACGCGCCGTCGAGGCAAGCTTCAATATGACCTCTTCTCCCTTCCACTCCGCCGCGCTACCGTCGACGGTGACATTCTTGAGTTGGCTCCCTTCTGGAACCCGCAGCTTAACCCAGACTTCAGCTGGAGGCGCCTTACTGAAACCTAAAACGGTCGTGATGGTAGCCGCCTTCTCGTCCAGCTGCATATCGAGGTCGACTGATCCCCATTTGGTCGGGGCTCTCTGTACTCCGACCTTACCCTTGCTAAGCCATTTCCTCGGAACGCCTCGTCCAACTAGCAAAGCATCCTTGTCGGGGTGATCGAATAACAATGCTGCTCTAAGCAAGACGGGGACCGTAAACTGGGAAGGCTGGCAGTATGTGCTGGAACCACCTCCAGTTCCGGCAACTTCAGCCGCAAGCCATAAGCCCCTGTTATAGACATGATACCGATGAGAGTATAAGAAGAGCACAAACTCATCAAGGCGGTCCTGGACAAGCAACGAAAGGGCGTATCCATATGAAATGAAGCCCAAGATGTCGCGAGTATCAGACCTAAGGGGCGTGACGTTGGCAACGACACCCACGCTAGTAATTCCGTAGGCGCGCATGGAGTCAATTACCATGTCAGTATGGTTTGATGAGAGCACTGATGCTTGAAGCAGTTCCGAGTAGACCCGGTGCGGCCACCACTGAGAGGATGCGTCTCCCTTTTCGGCCAGGTCTTCGAGAACATGGGTTGTTTCATTCGGCAGGACAGGAACATATGCAGGTGTGAAGTTCCTTTGGATCCATTGGTCCAATTTGAGGGATGTCTGGTTTATGAGCTGCTCAGCGCGAGTGTTCCAGTCGTTGGCATGGTCGGCAAATGTCTCAATCTTGCTAAGATCTTTAAGACCGCGAGCAGCGAACGCCGCATTGTTCCAGTATGGTTTCTCGAATCGCCATGCATCGTTTCTCAGTGCAGCATCAGATTCGCTCCAGCCAGAAATGAGGCCGTAGTATGGATCATCTTCAGGGAGCTTCAAGTTCTCGTCTTGGCGCGCGGTGAGCATGTTGGCCCAGGCGAGGATCTTCGTCTTGTACTTCTCCGGAAACGCAGTGTCGCCCGTGTACTGGACATAGCGTGCGATCAAAGAAAGTGACATGCCGAACTGGGGCACGGCAGGCCCACGCATCTTGATGGCTCCGTTGTCGTAGACATACCAGTCCATGTAGTTCTCAAGGATGGCCTTGGCCTGAGCAAATCGTCCCCAGGCCAAGTTAGCTGTGAGCGACATGGTCATGATGTCTTGGAAGCCGTCATATTCTGATCCGCCATAGTCGCGTTCAAAGGCACCGTACCTCGGAGTGACACCTCCAGCGCGACCAACAAGCTCTACAGCAAAGGCATGTTTTCCAATATCCGACCAACTCTCATCCGGAAGAGTCAAAGATATTTCGTCTTTGACGTGCGAGTCCCAGTAGTCGGCGAACCGCATCAAAGCAGGGTAAAAGTCATCGGCAGTAGGATGCGCCTTCAAGGGCAGGAACTGCTTGTAATCCAGAGCATACTTCTGTGCACGCAGGACTCCGCCCTTGACATACTTGATAGAGAACCAAATGTGAACGATATCGGGATCTGGAGAGTCGACGTCGGCGAATGTAGTGATATCAACCCAGTCGGTTGTGTCAACGAGGCCCCGGTAAATCTTTCGAGAAGCAGGCATCCATCCGTTGAGCAAGCCATCGAAAGTGTAATTAGAGTGAGTTCCGTCTGCAGCCTCCGACATGTCATTCCAGGGTGCGTAGTTCTTTGTCATGGACTGCCAGTCCAGGGCCATCGTATCGTTAGCCTGGACGTTTCCAAGGTACACATCCCACGGCAGGAAGGACAGGTCGATGACGTCGCGAACGTGTTCCTCAATAGGTTCACCATCTTGGAGAAGACGCTCTGCCAACACGTCATTCTGCTTGAGATTGACATCGTTTGCAGGATCCAGGCCAAAATATGCGTCGACCGTTCGGTTGATAGATACAGACTCGTCCGTGGAGGCTTCAACGTATCGCTTGATCTCTCTGCGAGTTCCAGAAGCAGACACCAAGACGAGCGGGCCATCGAATCGAGTGATGTCTTCGTATGCCGTCCATGTTTCCCCCTTGTAAGTAAAGGTGTCGATGGATGTTAGTCCATCAACGGTCGTTTCTTGTCGAGGATTCAAGTGATCCGCGGAAGTGCTGTCGGGAAATCCAGTATAGTCATTACCGGAGAATTGTGGCACCTCATGGTACGGTTTTGGGTGCTTGACTGGACCTCTTCCGGCCAGAGATGTAAGAAGAAAGACGAGAAAAAGAGTGACTTGATAAAAGAGTGACGAGGCATGGTTGCAAATTTTGCCCAGAGGGCACTGATAATCCCTAAAACGAAAAAACCTAGCCTAATTTCCAGACTGCCAACATCGCAACTTGGGGTTTTCATTGATTTATACTGCATAGCAGTCATCAATTCCTGTCAAAGCCGAGACTATCATGGGCGTCTCGTACGCGTGCACCGAGTCAGGCAAATGCGCTAAGAAACGTTAATTGACATCATGCCGCATTACCGGGGAGAAGTCATATTCTCCTACGGTTTTTTGTAAGGAAACAACCCAAAATCTCCCCATCATCAAGTTGAAGGAAATGAGGCATGGGGTCCCGAGAACTCTCTTATATTAGATAAGGTTTTACTTTTTGCAGTCTTGCCTATATAAGAAGGTCTCAGCTTATTTGCTCGCGAACCATAACTTGAACCATATGCGCGCGGTCCAATCCCTATTTCTGAACGCTATTTCTCATTTCTAAGATTCTTTGAGTTGAGTAATTCTCACTACATGCACGACCTTATGTATTCAGCACATAAATCCTTGACTTCGTGTAGTGGATGTTGCTCTTTCCGCAAATTCCGGCGAAGATTGAAAGGGGGCTCAGATATTAGAGTTGACAGGGATACCCGTGGACCTAGCTGGTGTGGCCGCTGTCTAGTGCAGAAACGACCCCTTTGGTGGAGTTCGTTGACACTGTTACAGTTCGCTCACGGAAGTGGAAGGCCAGACTGGCTCTTCATTTTCGGAATTGCATGTTGTCTGCATTTGCAGAGCAAGCTTTAAGATCATTCGAATCCGATAATCGGCCTTGATGAGACCCAAGTAGAGATCCGACGATTATTTTTGGAAGTGAACTTCAATCAGTCTGAGCATGGGAGTCACCAAGTGATTCTCGAGCAGTGCAGACTCGACGCTTGAGAACTTCAAGTTGCTCCCGAGGTCCAAGAAACTCGGGGTTGGTTATTGAACTCTCTCAGTGCACAAGACTATGTCTTTCAACTGATTGCTACACTGCGGCAGCACCACGGTCTTAATTTGTAATCTGGGCTCTTGTGCTTGTCCAGTACGAGATGGTGATTTATCGAGCAGAGGTTGCCAACCCCATCATTATCGAGAATGTACCGGCGATCTAAGATCTCATAATGGCTGTTCATATTTCACTCATGGACTAGGAATGCTCGTCTCAAGACTCCAAATTCGTGATATACAGCGCATCTGACAACTCTACATCTTTTCGTCATTAATTGTACATCCATGGACAGCCACTTCCGTCCATGCACTCGAATCCTGTTCCATCCTGAAGCCAATCTTGGTCCAGAAACATGCAACCATTACCGTTTTGATCCAGCGATAGCTGCTCGTGGAAGCCGATATCAGCCGGTATATCAAACACAGACTTCGTAGCAGGTTGTTGGCCTTTTTTCAAATCCATAAACTCCCCAAGCTCTTCCAAAGGAGAAAAATCAATATCAAGAAATCCAGATACCCCTGGCCGTATCGTACACCCAGAGCTCATGCTGTTCTCAACCTCTTGCGCCGCCCTACTTGTCTCCGTGGCTCTCTTCTCGGCCTCTTTCGCGGACCTCCACTTTTCAATCAAGCTTTCCAGCTCGGTGCTGGCTTTCTGCGCCACGGGATATGACTTTCCGAGCTCGGATAAAGCTTCAGTGGAACTCTGAAGAAGAACTTCATGGTTGCCTGGTTGTCCTGCACGAAGGTTGAGGAGATGAATGCTACCTGCGATGAAAACAAAGTGTACAATCGATGGCGGCATCTGTCGCATATTGAAAGATCGTCTGTAAGTCGTTGCGAGCTTTGTGATGTTTGCTGCTGCTGTAGCGCATGCGTGTGTGGAGTTGAGAGCCGAAGAGTTCATGTTGTCGACGTTGAGGAATTTTGAAGACAATCGGAGGAATGGCCGGTGGAGTAGAATGAGAGCAAAGTAGAAGTTCATTCTGCGTGGTTCTTTAGCTCCTGTTCTTAAGGCTTGGCTGGCACGATCACACGAAGTCTTGAATATACTTACTGCAAGATGAAGACATGGGGCTGTGCCAGGATATTTGAATCGCTGGACCATGTCAAGCTTGTAGGAAGATCGTGATGCCACTGCCATAGGGCTCTGTGAAGTTGTGATGCTTTCAATCTCATCTCGCTCGTAGATGAGTGCCGCCGTTGACGGTGGATACTAATCAGTATCTTAGAACACAGCACTGAGAGTGTTGAGGTGTGATGTAAAAGTGACGAAGTCGATTCGGCTTCGTCTTTGCTGACGCCTTTGAAGGGTCGCTCAGGTATGGGAATGGTGATATCCCACTCCATAAAGGAGTTTGGTCGCCCACAGTAAGCGCTGAATAGGCTGATTACAATTGACTGTTAGTCACACGACTCGCTGCTGGGAATGATCAAGTCCGGGTTGGTGTACTTACTTGTCTTCAATGTGGCAGCCCCAAAATACTCTCCTTCTGAGATCGGCCATCTCCTGGCTCATCTTACCAGACGCAACAGCTTTAGAACAGTCCAGATGTAGGCCCAATTTACTCGCCATTCTGAAGGCAATGCCTATAGTAAAGACATTAGTGGATGGACATATCTTTGTGACTAAAAAATGCTCTTACCACTGTACATCCAACCAAGGGAGTTGTCCTTCATGGCTCCATATCGAGAACCAAGTATCAAAGCCGCCTGGACAGTGGAAATGGTCGGGTGATCCATCTCTAGATCAAACATTGAGCGTGCTCGCTTCGCAAAAGTCTCTCCGGCGACACCGCCGGTAGAAGTAGAGTACCGCACGACTCCCTTGTCAAGACTTATCATCGATGCCAGAGCCATGATTGCGTACAACAGACATGGGGTATAAAAGTTTCGATCGCCGCGGTGTCCTTCACTGTCGTCCCAAATTTCCCGATGGCGGAGGAATAAAGCACGATCAACGACGAGGAGGTGAGATGATTGCCATTTCCAGAATAGGTCTAGCAAATGGGACACAATTGGTTCTGGCTCGGGAAAGCATTCGAGAGCACCGCGAGCTTGTCTGCTCGTGTCGTCCTCAAAAGGAGAGCCTTCCCCACGTGGACTCCTTGATCGAGACTGATTCTCGGAGTACGGGAATAGGGTCACAGAGCCAAGAAATTGGTCAAAGTCTTGCATACTATCGGGTGTCCCAATCTCTTCGATGACGGGAGGGACGCTCTCGGAGGCGCAGTCAAAGTCTGGCCTGCTGGGGCCTGAGAAGGAGATCGATCGGATGCCATTGTGTGTGATGTCGTCGGTCTTCGGTCTGTTTTGCCCCGAGAAGGATACAGATCTTGAGTGTGAAGCGGGGTGAAGCTCCTGCTGCGACGTCACAGCCCAATTGTTCTGTCCTCCCTCCGGAGGAGAGATCGATATCGTCATATTTTGAGTCCCCGGACTTGAAGAGCTGGCAGGGCTTGGGAAAGCACGTATCCTCGCATCCTGGTAGTTGTCTACAGTCCGACGTGCCTGTTCCATCAGACAATCCGAAACTTCATCCGTCTTGTGCCGTGTGACCGGGAGCTCTGGGTTTTTGGAGACGTTCTTGACAAACTCCTCTAGTGCCTGCATTCGCCGTTGCAGTGCCTTGGTCTCGTTCGGTTGTCGTTGACTGCGCTTATCCTCGCCGTAGCGGACCTCACACTTTTCGTTCTTGTTTCGACATGAGGTGCAGGACCGGTCCATTCGGTCCCCCGAGCTCAAAATTTGAGAGATGTCGCATCGTCTCTTGTCTTTCTTGCATCGTACGCATGCGAAACTCGCGCGGCTCGCGTGTCGGTCTCGGGTCATGATTGGAGTTGTTGAAGGTTGCTCAGTTGCGTCTGCTTTCTTTCTCCCTTCTCCAGTCAGCGGGTAGGATGTGGGAGCAAGTATCAGAGAGAATTGAAAGATTTGAATCTCGTGGGGGGAGGGCGGTCACGATGAGCAACAAAGTCAGGTACGTGGGGGTATAATGGGCCCAGAAAAAAGTGCGACACACGACAGCTAACTTTGTTTTGTTGGTCACGATCTACTATTCTAAGATCAGAAACGGCGGGCTTGAAGAGCCCCGGCATTACCCATCTTGGATTAGGACCCTTCGTCCAAGCACAAATCGCAACACACCCCCCTAGGTAAGGATGATGGTAAGCGTGGCTATATGCCCGTGTCATTGGTGAAGGGCAGCCAATTGTCGTCAACCAACAGCATTGGCACTGCAATGAAGTACGTGGAAGGCGAGAGCTGTTTCTCGGCAGCTACCACTGCGGCACGAACACCGGACGCCAGACGCCAGACGCCGCGCAGTCCGGGTAATCGTAGGATGAGGGGGAGGCAAACGGCAAACGGGAAAAGTTGACAGACTCCCAGGGGTTTGACTTGTAAGACATCCTTGTGGAGTGTTTGGCTCTTTCAGTTCCCGTCTTGTCAGTTATTGGCCCTGGTCGATATGTACACATGGGCTTGTCATGGCTCCGATCTCGGCATGATCTTGCGTACAGATTCCATTATCGAGGGAATCGAATCTGAGATGCGTGTATCAGTCTATCCAAACTCCCGGTGTCAGCATTGAACTATCCGTTTGCAAAAACTCACGGTGAGCAGAACGTCGCTAGATCCATTCAAAGGAGCCTCAAGTCCCCAAAAAACCTTGCCCCCGCGAACCCCCAGACTCCGCAAGTTGGACCCCCTTGAACTCAAAAAGGATTGACCCGGCCAACCCGCCACTGAGATCACGTCTGTGCCCCGGACCTCGGATTGCCCAAACAGGTAACCCGGCGCATACGATTTCCCCGGGACCCTCAAGCGCCCCCATAGTTCCGGGTCTAGTCTCATCCAACAACAAAACATTCGCGACGTTGAGGTTGGTAAGTCCCAGTTTTCCTTCCAATATCCAAAAGTCTGGACCTCAGGAGAGCAAGGTCGCATGACCACGTCAAGGAACAAGCCAAGAGCTGAAGCCTCCCGGCAAGCTCGAACAGCTCAAAGCCTCGAACAACAACCCAAGAGATCCGGCCGCTGGAACACTTATGCGGGGCAGGCCCCGCAAGATGTGTTCATGTGTACAGCCTTTTCTCCCGGGGGTCAGAGAGACGGACGGTGGGAGTATGTCATAACTAATACGAAGCCTGCGGAAATGTGGCAATCATTCACATTCCCACGGCTTCCCCCCTCCCGGAAGAATGCCCCGGATGCGAGCCGCAGCCAATGCGAACGGTGCGGAGACGTGGCAAAACTTTTCCGCAATTCTGGGGAAAGGGGTCTTTCTGATGTTACGTCTTTTTGAGAAACTCGAGCCGCTGTCACTTAGAACCCCGGTTTCCATGCCTGCCCTAGGGGAAATTGGCGTGTGTTCGGGAGCGGAGCCTCCGCCGAGCCGAGTTCCCGAACCGAAGTCATCCTGTCAACACGGGCGAGGGAAGTGCCATCGTGAGTTGGTCATCAGGCAGGTTGGGCCATGGCCCGGTGGGAGCGCGATTACAATCAGCAAATTCATACGGACTTGCCTCTAGATTACACCGTTGTATGGTCTGTGATTCAAGTAATGGACAATACACATTGAATGTTGGCTGAACCCAAGGGAGTGATGCTATGTGGAGTTACATGTATGACCCCTATGCTGATAAATAGATCTAGTCGAAAGGGGACTCTACCAAAGAGCTGAGAGTCGTGGTGAATGACATCGACTGAGGATCAAGTTACCTAAAGCCGGCACGGCTATCAAGTGAGAAATCTTTCCTAAGATAGAGCGCTTGTGAACTTACTGAACAGCTTTCAGCTACAGCATGATTCACGTATTCGGCCTCTTCCAGCTTCGCTAGTGGTCCCCTGTTACCTCTATTGGTCAATCTGACCTGCCACAAGGACCTGATAGCTTGACAGTTTAATGGCATATGCTGCTTCCCTGTCTTTCCCGGCAGTTTGGGCGCCCTCAGGAACGGCCACTCGGGTTCCGACAGCGTGGATGCTCGCCGGCAGATGAGAGTGCTAAGCTTCTGGGCAGAGCCTTAGTCTACCATGTGTAAAGTGCTTGCATGTCGCTGAAGCCCCTGACATCTTTGATCCATTGGCGAATCAAGCGTCGGGATGAGATAGTCAACTCGGAACGATGCTGTCATACCAGCTCCGAGGCCGCTTGTGGATCATGATCTCAGGGCTAACAGGCTCCGACCCGATGGCTGCAGTTTGCTACTTCGATCAGAGCTGGTTTCAGCAACTTAGAGTGTTGCTGCGGCCTTGGGTATGAGGCTGTTGACTGACAACTCTCACCGTGTTTGTAGTGAGTGTATGGCGTGTCTATTCGTTTGCCCCAGATCGAACCAAAGGCTAGACCCAGCAGCTTGTAGAGCTCCGTACTTACTCAAATACTCATAAAGCCCAGAGTGGCAATATCACCATAGCTGACCATCTAGCCATGAGATCGACAAGAAACTATCAATCATTCTATGGTGGACTGCCAGTGGTATAGCACTTCTCCTGGTGTGTAATAACGGTGGCTCGAGAGACCAGGCTAGAGTGAGTACGGAAATGAGGCTTCATGATGATGAACTTGTCATTGTTTTGGCTAAGTTGGCGAAGTTCCATTATTAGGCCTGTCATGTCGGTTCTCGGAGTTGCCAAAAAAGTTGAAGCGAGATTGAACATGAAGAGTTTTGGTAAATTCAATCTAACGCTATATTATATGTGAAAATGAAGGTACGAGAAGATAGGCTCGGAGAATTCATGCCATGCCGGATTGCAAGCCCTTGATGGCAACCATTGCACCCCAAGCACCAGGATCGGGGTGGAATGACGTATCCTTCCCAGACGCTGCGACATACGTCGCACGACCAAGCTTAGCCTTTGTCTTCCTCGTGTACTCGGCTCCCTCGACAGCTGCCTCGACAGCTCCCTCGAAACCCTTGCTGCGAATTGCATCAACAAATGGGATCAAGACATCCAGGATCGTCCGGTCTCCGATCTTGGCGGGTGTGTAATGACTCAAATGCGCAAGAGCGGACGTCAGCGCCAGTGTCCAGAGAGGCAAGATACCTTGCGACTTTGCCAACGACGCGTTCTCCTCTACGGAGTTGCTGAGCGAGACGAAGAAAATGCCGAGGATACCACCAAGCGTGCCACCCATCTTGCTCTCAACAATGTCCTCTAGCTCGTGAAGAACTGAGACGATGGATCCCTCGGCTGCGATACCCTTGTTGTCTAGAGCATCAAGGAGATGCGAAGCGCCCGTTTTCAGGGTTTCACCGCAGTCGCCGTCACCCATCACCATGTCCCACTTTGTCAGATCAGGCTCGGCTTCAATGACTGCCTGGCAAGCCATGTTCAGCATCGACCTGAGCGTTGCCGGGTCCATTCTCACGTCGCGGTCGGCCTCAATCTTCTTTGGCTCTTCAGGAGGTGACTGCACGAACTGAAGTTTTCTGTCGCGGCGGACAGCTTGAGCGCCAGCCATCGACTCCCAGTGTGTGTTGGTCTTGAGGTCGGCGAATTGGAAGATTTGCTCTGCTGAGAAACTGCACTTCTTTGATGCCGCTGTGATGTTCATCAAGGAGATTGAGAATGCAGGTGCGTTGAGAGAGGTTTCGAGAGGGCCGGAGTACACCCTTGACGGTCTGATGTTCCACTTGGTGTCGAGCTGCTCGAGGAGCTCGTCGACAAGAGCGCCCATTTCCAGGTAGGAGATGCCTCCGAAATTGCTGACAAGGAGGATCGTCTCGTCGTCGTTGTTGAACTTGACATAAGCTCGGTCGTGATCCTCCTGGTCCAGGCAGTACCGCAGCAGCTGGTCAATCAGGCCCTCTGCAGTAGGCGCGGGCGAGACCTTGCTGTAGCCGGGCTCATTGTGAGGTCCGGTTCCCACCTCCACCTCGTCGGCGCCCAGACGAGCGTGCTCTGTGCGCCCGGGAACATGGCAGTGGTCCATGGTGGCCGCGATGGACACAATTTCGGACTCGACAGAAACACCAAGCTTGTGGATGTCATCGAGAGTGCCGGCCTTGACGCCAGCTGCTCCACTGATGACTTTGAGAACACCAATCTGCCCGGCAAGACCTCTGCGTCCTACCAGGCTACCACCTGCCTTTCCAACAGACACATCGTCACCGCAGATGATCATGCGGCAGTTGTGCCCACGACTCCGTGCCTTTTCTGCAGCGAGGCCAAAGTGGAGGCAGTCGCCGGTGTAGTTGGTGATGACAAGGATCGTGCCGACATCTGAGGGCACACGCTCAATAGCAGACTGAATTTGCTTCGCAGACGGGCTGGCAAAGATGTCTCCGGATACGGAGGCCGCCAGCATGTTATTGCCGACATAACCTGCCCATGCGGGCTCGTGGCCGGAGCCACCGCCAGAGATGATGCTGATTTTGGACTTGTCGTATGTTGAGTCAAAGACCACACGGTTTGACTGGTCCAGACCAAGAGAAGGGTTGTATGAGATGAATCCTCTAAGGGACTTATCAACGAGTCCCTCTGAGGAGGTAAAGATGTGGCGGTCGGACATGATTTGTGATGGTGCTTCTATCTCTACTTATGTGTAGGGGTATGGGATGTCGATGAAGCTCACGAAACGAATTGCAGAACTGAACAATATGAGCTTCCTTTGATATTGAGGTTCGATTTGAGTCTGATAATTATCACAGAAAGGCCCATCCTGATGCTGACCAGTCGATATCATATGTGGTGTGGTCGGTTGATGGTGTGCGATTTTCCGGGGACCCAGTAAATCGGTCGTGGGTGCGTCTCGACCCCGGATTTCCGCAGCGGAAGATCGGCTAGGGGGGTGAGCCATCCGCGACAAATCACACCCACACCGATGCACATGGCGGTCTCGACGCTTTATAAGTAAGTATTGTAAGTCGTGGCGGTAGCGGCCTTTGGTACTTTCTTATACTCGTCTCCAGACATCCGAGAAATCAAGGAAATTTCTATCTCCAGATCCGTCTTCAAGCTTCACCACCCCGCATCATACAAGAACATTCAAGATGGGCAGCAACCCCGTTTCCAAGTACCGCATCGTAGTCGGATGCGACGTAAGTCAGCAGAAGTGCCTTGCTTCTCAAAACATGAGACTGACACCCAAACAGGAGGCTGGCATCAAGTACAAGGACACAATCAAGGCAGACTTCGAAAAGGACGCTCGCGTTGAGTTCGTCGAGGATGTTGGAAGCCACGATGGCGCAGACAAGACGGCATACCCTCATAGAGCCGCCGCCGCCGCGCAAATGGTAGCCGACGGCAAGGCCGACCGCGCGCTGCTCATCTGCGGCACGGGGCTCGGCATGGCCATTGCTGCCAACAAGATCAAGGGCATCCGCGCTGTAACAGCACACGACAGTTTCAGCGTCGAGCGTTCAATTCTGAGCAACGACGCGCAGGTGCTGTGCATGGGTGAGAGAGTCATTGGTTTGGAACTCGCAAGACGACTAGCGAAGGACTGGCTTGGGTACACATTCGACCCTACGAGCAACAGTGCGGAAAAGGTTCACGTCATCAAGAGTCTGGAGGCTACAGCATGAAGCAGTTGTTGGTTGCATTCCTTTTAAATAACGATTAATAAAAGCGTTCATTCTTCTTCTAAATATTCACCCTAAACCACAGCTTTCGCAATGACGAGCTCAGGTCTCATGTGAATCTGCGATCTCATACCCTGCGCCCTCATGGCACACATCTTGAGTCATCGGAAACTCCCAATAACTTGGTTCTTCATTCAGGCTTCGTAGGATGATATAAATGTTGGTTGCTCTCACATGAACGTCTTGGCGAATGATGTTCGAGGCTACATGCAGAACCCGGTATACGCACCATTCGGCAGATCCTGAGCCCGGAGAGTCGTGACAAGATCGGGGCCGGTGCGCGGCCCTACTCAATGATAAAGAAGTACTTAAGAGCGCAAGAACCCCTGCTTTTCTGTTTCTACGATCTTTCACTCATCCTGTTCACTCTCATAAGCGTGACCAGTGAGTCGAAGTCAAGCTCGGGATGAGCTTGATTTAGAAGCAGCAGTAAGTCGGATTACAGGTGAGCTAGTTGATTCCTCACATACTATCCATCATATTGTAATTCCAATTTCCTAAAGACTCATATGTCCTTAATTGTGGTGTTCGTTCTCTCAGATGTCGTTCAAACTCTCAGCATCGACATTGAAGCTCGCCATTCCCTATTTCCCCAAGTCTCGATATTGGCGGGACAAGATCTAGGTGAGCTCCGTCAGCTTTCCCAGCGGAAATTTAGGTGCACCTATTGCAAACGAAGAACGGAGAGATTGCAAATTCTCCGAATCTTGGATTGAGAACTTCGTCAACGTTTGATGCCATCGGACAACCGGGAAGCTTGACGATACGATGGGGAAGATTGCCGCAACGATGGGTCGAGTGACCGGCCGCAAGCCCCTCTAGGCGGGGCACAGTCCCGATTTTCCGCACTATTTGAAGTGCATGGCCCGGACGCTTCGTTCTTCACACGCAGCTGAACCCGTGAAGCAACAGGTCAACGAGAAGCCACCAGCAGACACTGCGCACAGAAGTTCCATACCCTCAAGATGACGACATCACCGAATAGGAGGCTTATCGGTCTTTCAACCAAGATGTACTTCCCGCTCCAACGCACGCTCGACTTCATCGCCACAGTTCAGACACAACTAGCCGCTCTTTCTCCAACATCTTTAGAGAACATCGACATCTTCATCATCCCCGATTTTATCTCCATCCATCCCGTCAGTGAAGCCCTCAAGAACTCAGCTGTGCCAATCCGGTTGGGTGCACAAGACTGCCACTGGGATGACTTTGGAGCTTTTACGGGCGAGGTCAGCCCCGCTGTCCTACGCGAGACGGGCGTCTCAATCGTCGAGGTCGGGCACGCGGAGAGAAGGAGAATCTTTGGTGAGACCGACGAGACCGTGGCCAAGAAAGCCGCAGCGGCAAGCAGGAATGGAATGGCGCCTTTGATCTGCATCGGCGAAAAGACAAAAGGAGACTTGAGTGTCGCACTGGGAGAATGTCAAGTCCAGATCGACCAGTCCCTGGCAGACGTGCCTGAGTCGGCGGAAGTCATCATCGCGTACGAGCCAGTCTGGGCAATTGGCGCAAGCGAACCGGCCAGCGAGGGCCACGTTATTGAGGTAGTCAAGGGTATCAGAGCTTTTGATAGCGTGAAGAGGAGAACCGGCACGACTAGAGTCATCTACGGCGGCAGTGCTGGACCGGGCTTGTTCGAGAAGCTGGGCGAGGCCGTCGACGGCCTGTTTCTTGGGCGGTTCGGCCATGATGTGCCAAGATTCCTCACTACCGTATCAGAAGTGGCTTCTTTCCAGGCTTAGACTCGATTATCTCAAAAGTTAGACATATGATAGACTTTGCGAATTTTCATTCGGGTCATTTCTAGACATAGTGAACTTGATTCCGATTTCTTTTCCTTTTCTTTGGGCGGCAAGCCAAATGCTGTACTGGATTCTTGCATCGCTTACAGCTCCGCAGATTCTCTTCGCGCTTCCGAACCTCCAAGCGCCCCTAGAAGCCCCTCGTTTTTCGATGGCCAAACATTGCCGACGTTGGGCAAGGCCCGAAGAGTGTCCAGATTGTGATTCCCAGTCTCGATAACCACTCCAGAGAATATTGCATGATCGAACTTCTTCACTACTTTGGTTCTCTCATCTTCTGTCAACTTGTTGATGAGAGCCTCTCTATCTTCATCCTGTGGCGCAAGCAAGTGTCAGCGCATCTGAGCACAGACGGTGGGCATTGGGAACACACCTTGCTGCTGCCAAACTCGACGATGAACTTTTCGCCCATTGCGAAGACAACACATGTGAATAAGAGTGCGAGAGGGTATGATCGCATTGGTCCAAAGCGGTACCGAAGTGCGTTTGGAGACTTCAATGTTGTTGGTGTGAAGTTAGGTTGCCCAGTGGCGTGCCGCCAGAAGAGCCCGTGATTACGTGCCCATAGGTGGTGCAACAATCACCTTCCTAAAAGGGATTCACAGTATCAACTTGCCTTTCAGTGCGCGTTCCTGTAGCGAAATACTTCAAGTCCCGTTCTCGCTCTCAAATTCCATTCAGAGTCCATACCTTTTTACAGTTAATCGGACGCAAGAGAATTCCGCAGGCCAGGTTAGCAGACGCCCTCTTTTATACTTCTGGAAGCGGATTACCTACCTAGTAGACCAACAGTAGCTCAGCTCTGCGCAAATGGGTGTGTGGGTTTCTCAGCATAGGTACTATCCCTTGTAAGCAAGACTCGCTCAGCGGCTTTAGAAATGCATCTGATTACTGCTACTTTGACCAAAACATTCACTTTCCAACTTGCACTGGTCTATCTTTGTTCTCTTCGGCCACGTCGGTTCCGAACGGCCCCCAAGAAGACATTAGCCGATGGTCGTAACGGTACTCGTCTTGACCACCAATACATGGCCGACATCGCAGGCCTGCGCCCTTTGGGATGCCCCACGTCATTAGTCCGTGTAGAAACTATTACTCACGCCAAAGAAAACCCTCAAGCTGAACTTCGCTGGAGCTAACCAGACCTGCATTTGAAGTTGCATCTGCATTGTATCAAAACACGAGCACAGATTGGATTGGTAATCAACTCATAATATCTTTCGAAGAATTTCTCAAAACTTACGTTAAGCAACTCCTTCCTATTTACATGCCCTATTCTTCCCAGAGTTAGCATTCACGATGTCGTACACCGAGGAGCAAATCGACCGGTATCTCCACCATATCAACTACCCGCGGGAGAAACATGCGTCAGATCGGTTGCAGCTCCTAAAGGATCTTCAGGCTCATCAACTTGCCCGAGTTCCTTTCGAGAGCTTGACCTTGCACTACTCGAAGCACCGCCTTATTTCCATTGATCTGGAGGACCTCTTCGACAAGGTCGTAGTGCAGGGAAAAGGCGGCTATTGCATGGAGCTCAATGCCTTATTCGGTGCCGTCCTCAAGGGGCTTGGGTTCACAGTCGTCAGCGTTGGTGCAAAGATCAAAGGCGACGAGAGGTTCGGCGGATGGTAAGCACTCATAAAGGCTTTTAACAACAACTCGGCGCTGATCTCTGACAGGTCCCATATGCTCAACCTCGTCACCATTGATAGTCAGCGTTACGTAGTCGACGTTGGTTTCGGCAAGGGGGCGACCATGATTCCCGTACCCTTGAACAAGGAGACCGGCCACGAGTTCACCACCATCGCTCCTCTGCGAGGTAAACTCGTCTACCAAAAGCTAGACCAGAACACGGATTCGAGTCAGCGCATGTGGGTGTACTCGTCAACCGACACCGCCGACGGCCCCTTCCGAGAGCGCAACTGCTTCACGGAGCAAGAATTCTTCCCTGAGGACTTTGAAGTCATGAACTACGCCGTCATGATGAGGCCAACTAGCTACTTTGTCAAGACGGTCCTGTGCATGCGAACGATTCTGAATACTGAGACAAGGGAGGCAGAGGGTACCATTGTGCTGCATAAGGATGAGGTCAAGCGTAAGATTGGCGATAGAGTAGAGCTCCTGGAGACGTTGAATAGCGAGGCGGAACGCGTGCGGGCTATCGAGAAGTACTTCTACATCTCACTTACACCCGCAGAACAGAAAGCCATCAAGGGAATGCCTCAGGAGTTATTGGAGAAGAAGTAGCAGAGCTAAGCCGGAGTTGTGACATCTTCTCTTCTGGAATGTGGGAGGAATTCTTTGGCTCAATTATCGTCGAATCTGGGCGCGCCAACTGCGGCTTTTTCAGCTGCTAACTTTATCAAGTGGTCAACTTCCATATTTATAGATAGCTCGCCTAAGCATCCTAGCCTGTAAGTTCTAGACACTGAAGAAGAACTCGTTGCCCAGACAATTGACTTGCGGATCTCTTGAAGAATCTGTCATTTCGTTCGAAGTCGGCCCAAGTAAGATGCTAGGAGCATCTTGCCAACTCCAGTCTATCTCATCCACCCCTGAATCAAAAGTAGGGTAATTGGTGTAGTGGCTCGTGTGCTGAAGATCTTCGTTCCGCAAAGTTGCATGTTCTTGGAGATGGAGTTGTTCCTCCTGGGCCTGTTCGACTCCGCCAGTTGTATCGAAGGCCCCATTCCCCGATTCCATATACTCATGCGCCTTGTAATGTGTAGACTTTCCTGATATAAAGGGCATGCCATGACGTATGATGTTGATAGTGCCGAGTGCAGGAACTTTGATCCGCAAACACCGACTAGTACGACAAGCATCTCCGGAGCTGTCAGCAGATGGGCTCTCCAAATACCTTGCCGAGCGACTAGCAGCATCCGCTTCCATATCCAACAAGGCTTTCAATATAGAAGCGGTTTACTCCAGTAGAGAGCCGCTATCGGAATGGTCCACTTCCAACATGAGTCCAATGACTTCTTCCATCAAAGCACGATCACTCGCTCTCTGATGGACGAGAAAATCAACCACATCAGCGTCATGATTCCATCTTTCAATATGCGCGAGAAGCAGACTGAGGCACGCCGTGAAAGCGGAGAAGTCAATGGCTCTGAAATAGAACGAGATCTCGTTCGCGCATCTGAACTTGATGTATCGACTTAGGAGCTCGCGGCTTGCGTTTGAACGCGCCGCTCTGCTGTATTCGTGATTCGCGCGGCAATTGGACCGTAACATGTACGGGAAATGTAGGAGGATCAGCAGATTGAAGTGCGTAATCTGGAATAGAATCCGAAGGGTGGTCTCGAGCTTTTCCCCTTCACTTATGATTGCAGGCTGCTGTTTAAGTCGTGTGTTTGGGACTAGCCACCAATCAGGGGGCATTTCTTGAGCTGACGTCTGCAGCATTTGGTCAATTTGTTGCGTGACACCGTAGTCCTCAAGTTGGATGCTCTCGGTCCTAGTAGTGATGCAGCGCATTATCTGACTGTGACGACGTTCAAGGTAGTCGCAAGGAGATTCCTCAGGGGCGAACTTGTGCTTTGCTGCATACGGATCATCGAGAGTTGTAGCAGGTAGGCCGAGCATTAGAGCCAAGTACCTCTCTTAACTTGATATCCTATGCCCAAGTTACCCCGAGTTGAGTCTGAACTTTGTTTCCCATTGACTACTGAACAGCACATACGCGGTCATTTCGTTCGCGATTTACAGCTGCCTCCCCTCAATTCCGGTCATCCGAGTCCCCGAAGTGGCCAAGATCGCGGTGCCACAGAAAGCATGACGTGGACTGGGCGGCTTCCGATTCCGCAACACCGCAGGCTCTGTGGCCGGAGGGATGAACATGATATGAAAACTCCAAGCATCAGTCAACTTCCTTTCAGACGATCGAAAGTCCATGACTGCCTCGCCTTGAAAGTCCGCCGCCGGAGTCTTGAGGGACCGTAATATCCTGAATGCGCTCCGAGTTGATAACGCACAAGCCGAGTCCGACCTACTTTGGGCAGTATTCAAATATTAAAAGTAGCTGTAAACTAATTGCATGCTTCAAGGCATCCTTGCCAATCCATTTATATTTAGATATCGAGTATCTTGTCCTAAAGTACACGAGTAGCCTTACGATGGTTATGAGTTGCGCCTATGCTCCAGCCACCACGGCCAAACCATCATAAATCATCCTCTTCACCTCATAGAACGTGCTACGGTGCTGCATCATGGTCGCCGCATCCGCAATACCCACGCTCTCCACCTCAACCTTGCCTGTGCTCGTCTTCCGTACCGCCACCGCGCCGTTGATCACCAACGTACCCTCGCCACGGAACTCGGCCGTGTATCCCGTCGACTGCATCGCCCGCCGCAGATCCGTGAGCCTCAAGTCACCCACGTGTAGCGGCTGTGCGACCGAACGCACCGCAGAAGCCATGTTTGAAGGCAGTAGGTCCAGCGTGGGTACTACTTCGATCTCGGTAGTCTCGTCTTCCCCGTCTTCCTCCTTCTTGACTTCCTCAACGGCTTCAGCGTCTTCAGCCTCTGTCTTCTGCCTCTTGTTGGCCCCGTCGTCTTTCTCGATGAGCTTTTCCTTGGCCAATGCCTCGGCGATGAGCTGGCCTGTGACAGTCACGACGCCCAAGCCGCGAACGTTTTGCCACTTGAGCTTCTTAACCAAGCTGTCTGCAAGTTTGACCACCCATGCGTTGGTGTCGACACTTGCGTCTACCCAGGCACCCATCGCTGGCGTGTAGACATCGATCGCGCTCTCCTCGGACGCACCAATCTGGGCGGCCAGCAGTTTCTTGCAGTCTACTGCGAGGGCTGTTGTCTCGTCCGCAGTGCCGCCAACTAAGATGAGTTTTCTTGGCTGGATCAATGGAATCAACATGTTCAAACTCCTCTTGTCGTGCAGTCCACTGAAATCAATGAAGGCGATTCGCAAGTTGACCATGACCTTCTCTGTCGAGACGATCAACTTGGAAGGACCCTGTATCTCCTCCTCAACAACGTCCTCCACGTCGTCAAACTCGTCAGCGACATGGTCACCTGGTCCATTGGCGTCCAAGTCATCCACAGACCCTGCCCTGTTATTTTGGCGCTTGTTTGCTGCTTTGTTATTGCCGTCATCCCACTTGCGCTTCTTTCCAAGTCGGTCGTCATCGTCATCTCTCCTCAGACCGTCGTTGTCCGGTGTATCTTCTTCCTTCTCCTCGGCACGCAAGTAATCTTCGGGGCGGATCACGTCTCCGAATTGGTCGTCTCGTCTCCTTCGCATGACGAGAGGGAACGATCGTTCGCGACCCTTCTTGCCTCTCACATCGAAGTCGTAAGCACCGCGCTTTTTTGTCAAAATATTGATGCCGAGGTCCTCGTCTGTAAGAACAACCTTCTTACGTGTTGCCTGGCCCATGGTTGTTGAGATGTTGAGGGCCTTGCCCTGTTGCTCGTTATCGGATTCGCCAGAGTCTGATGAGGATTCGGATGAGACATCGTCGGCAGCATCTGCGGGTGCTTGCAGGGAAGCCCCGCCGCCACTTTGCAGCGTAGCTTGAAGCTGGCGTTGAGTCGCGAGCCACTGCTGGTACACATTGAGTTCTTCTCCCTCCAATGCTTGCCTCTTGGCCTCCTGGATCTCCAGCTCCCTACCGCCACCATAGACAAGCTCAAGGCTGTTACCATTGCTCGACTCCTCCACCGAAGCGCCATCTCTTCGTTCAGTCCACCAGTCCCAAAGGGTTCTGGCTATTGATGGTCTTTCAGTCTGTGATTTGGCTGGCTTATCTGTGAGGATGACCAAATTCCTGGAATCTTTCGCAAGACCCTGGATCAAGTCTTTAGAGAAACCCCATTCCAGAGTATCGTCGCTTGCAAGAATAACCCTTCCTTCTGCTTGAACATTATCCGCGGAGCCCGAGAGGAGCTTCTCGATTTGTGCCCGGCGTTCAACAAGCTTCAGGTATTTGAAGTCAAATGGAACGCCTTCCTTGCTCTTTCCTTCGGTGCCATTGGTACGCCGTTGCCCATCAGCAACTGATTCGAACTCCCTAACGATATTGTCGTCCATCCACTCCAACATGCTTCGTGCATATCGTAGAGTACTCGACATGTTCCGTCCAGCGAGATAGAGTTTCGCTGCTTTGAGGCTGCCGCCGTCCGTTTGTGAGTCTACTCTCCATGCTTGTTCTAGCATATATGCAATCTCCAAGACACGTGCGCTTGAGTCCACTGGGATGAGTGCCGTCCCTCCCCGGCTGACGCAGGATTTGATCATGTCGACGAGCTGCTCATCGCGTTTTGCACGGCCTCCGGCTTGGGCAACCTTTTCTGCACCTCTACTACTGCACACCAAGGCCGTCGGCTTGCGCAGCTGTTCGATGACTTCGGCACCACCACCTCCAGCGCCACCCAGCCAGGCAGCTCCAGCGAAGACATTCTCCTTCGCCTGATTCCAATCTACAGCGTAGACAATTGACTCCAGACCATGCTGAATATGCCATATCGTTCCTCCGAGAGTGTGGCCTGCATTGTAGGCCGTGATCATGAGGCCATTGAGCGGCGGCGAGAAGGGAGACGGAAGGGGTTCGTGGGGTTGCGAGTACTTGAGAGGCTGGATTAGGGAAAAGTATCGAGTAATCTCCTCGGGGGTTGGTGCTTGCAGAAGAAAGTCGCTGTCGGCCGTTGGTTGCTGAGAGAAGGAGTATGCGGCCTCGGTCAGGGAGCCGTGGGGTATCTTTGTCGCGGCTAGAGGAGTGGATGCGTAGAGGTCTTGGGTCAAGGTGCGACCTAGATCAATGACAGGTCGGGTAGCGTATACGGGGATTCTCGTGAACAAGGGGAAGTTCTTGCAGCAATGGGCAAATGCAGCCAAATGCGATGTCGTGGCGTGTGTCAGAAGGATGATGGACAAGGTCGGAACCTGTCTGGAGGAATGTCAGCGATTGTCGTGAAGGACGCCCAGAGTAGGGGAAGGGCCTGATTACTTTTCAAGCTCCCGAAGCTTTTCGACATCAAACGACTCGTCCCAGCCAAGATCTATGAGAATCTTAACGCCTCCATCGAGCTCCAGAATCGATTGCGACGCTGTTGAGTCGGAAAGGGCGCCCTGAAGAGGGCAAAAGGTAAACATGATTGGTATCTATTCGGCAGGGCCGCAATGCATCGTCTGGAGGTAGAAGTAGTGGGATTGATTCGACACGGAGTCGCTTCAAGGTGCAAGCGCAAAAGCAGCGACCATAACGCTGGCGCGCAAATGTCAGATAATAATCTCCTTGTCGTCGCTGTTGCAAGCGCAGTGAGTCGTGGGGTTTGAGGTTCAACGGAGGTGTCGCGTAAAAGAATCTAGGAACCAAAAGTCCAAGGTTGCATGCGCTCGCCGCGTGCAAGGTGTTTGGGGTACGTACCGCTGCGCAGGACTGATCGGAGAGCAGGGGCCAGCTGAGGCTCCGTCATTGAAGAGTGGGTCAACCCCATTCCAAGTCCCCCTTCTCAGGCCAGGCATCGGGATGGCGGCGACTTTCTTCCGTTCCTTATTAGGACTAGATCCGTTTTCTTCAATACAGTGGAGACATACCCGGCTCTGCGGGATCCAACGGACAGCTGCTGGAGCTCCCGCATTGGCCAGGGCCGGGAAGGGCTAGATACATAGAAAGGTACCTTAGAGCACCTGCCAAAAGAACTCCGGGCCTGGAAAAACAGATCGGAAAGTTATCGTGTCAATTTGGCCCGGATCCCTGTTGATTCGTGCGTCTGGCCAGAGCATCGAAAGGGGACACAATTCAAGCTTGTCACTTTTCCAGAAGCTCGGCTTGTTCTCGACTTTGCCGCCAAACATCCCATTTCCACGTTTCTGCAAGGCATGGCGCGCTCTTGATTGCGTGCGCGCATTTCTATTCAATCCCTCTGCGAGTTTTCGACCTTGATACCCGATTCTGACGGTGCACAACAGCTAGCTGGCCGTGCCTCCGAACCTCAGCTTTTGAAAGCTACGGTACCTTCATTAGCCCGCATTTAATTCGACTCCCCCGAGCAATCGACCACGAGCTTCCCATCACGCAACCCTCCAACACACCGACCACAGCCCATTTCTGCAAACATGTCTGACTTTAGCATGTACCACCAGCTGGGCCAGGGCGAACAAGACCCTTCGAACCCCAATCGATCGACGCAGCCCGCACCTCCCCAGTTCTCCCCTCCCGTCGCGGGGCAGCAATACCAGCAGGGAACTCCATACGGCGCCCCTGCACCTCCAGGACAGCAATACTATGGAGGCCAGCCTGGTTCCGCACCACCTCAGGCACAGCCGTATGGGGCCCCTCCAGGTCAGGAGTATGCGCAGAATCCTGGTTTCCAGTCTCAGGAAAACTTGGCGGCGCAAATGGGAGGCATGTCACTAGGTGATGGACACGGTACAGCAAGGAGGAAGAAGAAGGACCGCCACGCATACCACCAGGTCGAGGCGACAGGCTCGTCGCAACCCTTCAACGGAATCCCTGCTGCCGGCACGAATGCCACGGCCTTCCTCAACGACCCTTCGCAAGCTCAGTATGCTCAAATGAACCAGTTCCCCGTCGCCGCGGGCCAGACATTTACACCCGCCAATCCCGCTTCCCCGGCTGAATTTGCGACCCGGAACGGCACCGATGCTGGCGGCCCCCCGGCTGTGGTTCAGACTTCCGGACACCAGAAGCTGTCTCTCGACGACCTGCCTAGTGTGCCAGTCTCCCGTGACTCTCTTCAACAACACTACTTCTCCAATGTTTATCCCACCTTTGAGAAGCACTTGCCACCTCCCTCGACTGTCTCATACGTTGCCTACGACCAGGGCAATGCTTCGCCCAAGTTCGCGCGCTTGACACTGAACAGCATTCCGTCCAATGCCGAGGGCCTTGCACTTACTGGTCTGCCAATGGGTCTTCTCCTTCAGCCCATGGCACCTCTCCAGCCCGGGGAGCTCGAGATTCCAGTCCTTGATTTTGGCGATTCTGGCCCCCCGAGATGCCGTCGCTGCAGAGCTTACGTCAACCCCTTCATGATGTTCCGGTCCGGCGGCAATAAGTTTGTTTGCAACTTGTGCACTTACCCCAACGATACCCCGTCCGAATACTTCTCCGCACTCACTCCCCAAGGTGTAAGGGTGGACCGCGATCAGCGCCCAGAGCTTACCAGGGGTACTGTGGAGTTTGTAGTGCCTAAGGAGTACTGGACGAAGGAGCCTACTGGTCTGCGCTGGCTGTTCGTCATTGATGTTACCCAGGAGTCCTTCAACAAGGGATTCATCGAGTCCTTCTGCGAGGGCATCGTTGCTGCCTTGTACGGTGGCGAAGACGCAGAACGGGATGACAATGGCGAGCCAAAGAAGAGCATTCCCCCTGGCGCCAAGGTTGGCTTCGTGACTTATGACAAGGACATCCACTTCTACAACGTCAATGTGAGTTGCTCCCCAGGACTCCAGACATTGGACAATGGACTAACAATCATAGCCCGCCCTGGATCAAGCCCAGATGATGATTATGCCCGATCTTGAGGATCCCTTCGTACCCCTGAGTGACGGTCTCTTTGTCGACCCTTACGAATCTAAGTAAGATTGCCTGCTGTGTATAATATGACCATCGCACTGACTGACTTGTCTAGGGATGTCATCACATCTCTGCTGACAATGCTGCCCACCATGTTCTCAAACATTAAGAACCCCGAACCGGCCCTCCTGGCGACCCTCAACTCTGCTGTTGCCGCATTGGAAAAGACCGGAGGCAAGATCGTCTGTTCTCTGGCGGCTCTGCCTACCTGGGGCCCTGGCCGTCTCTTCCTCCGCGACGATGGAAAGCATCCCGGTGGAGAGATCGACAAGAAGCTCTTCTCTACAGAACACCCGGCATGGAAGAAGGTGGCCGAGAAGATGGTGGCCACCGGTATCGGTGCCGACTTCTTCCTCGCGTCGCCTTCGGGCGGATACCTTGACATCGCCACAGTCGGTCACGTTGCAGCCTCTACCGGTGGAGAGACGTTCTACTACCCCAACTTCATCGGGGCCCGTGACAACACGAAGCTGTCCATGGAAATCAAGCACGCGGTTACGCGCGAGACTGGCTTCCAGGCTTTGATGAAGGTTCGTTGCTCGAACGGCCTGCAGATTAACGGGTACCACGGCAACTTCATCCACCACACTTTTGGTGCCGACCTGGAGATTGGTGTTATTGATGCTGACAAGGCTATGGGCGTCACCTTCTCCTATGACGGCAAGCTCGACTCGAAACTCGACGCCCACTTCCAGTCGGCGCTGCTGTACACCACGGCTTCCGGCCAGCGGAGAGTGCGCTGCTCAAACATTATTGCGAGTGTGTGCGACAACCCCAGGGATAGCGTCAAGTTCATCGACCAAGATGCCGTGTTCACGATTTTGGCCAAGGAGGCAAGCACAAAACTAGCAAGTACTTCGGCAACGCTGAAGGATGTCCGCAACCACCTGACGGAGCGTACGATCGACATTCTCTCAGCATACCGTAAGAACTTCTTGACTTCAGCGCAACCAGACGGCCAGCTGGTCATGCCGGAAAGGCTCAAGGAGTTCTCCATGTACATGCTCGGTCTCCTCAAGTGCCGCGCCTTCAAGGGTGGTAACGAGAGTTCCGACCGTAGAGTCCACGAGATGAGGATGATCCGTTCCATGGGCGCCAAGGAGCTTAGCTTATACCTGTATCCGCGCATGATCCCCATTCACAACCTCACTCCAGAGGAGGGCTTCCCTGACGAGTCCGGCCATCTCAAGGTACCGCCTGCGATTCGCACGTCCTTCTCTCGCGTGGAACCTGGCGGCGTCTATCTCGTCGACAACGGCCAGCAGTGTCTCCTGTGGCTCCACTCCCAGACCTCACCGAACCTCATTGCCGATCTCTTTGGCGAAGACAAGACAACCCTCCAGAGCCTCGACGCGTATACTTCATCGCTCCCCATGCTCCAGACACATTTGAACGCGCAAGTACGGAATATCGTCGAGTTCCTTAAGACGATGCGGGGTTCCAAGGGTCTGGGTATCCAGCTTGCGAGACAAGGAATTGATGGTGCCGAGTACGAGTTTGCGCGCATGCTCGTCGAGGACAGGAACAACGAGGCACAGAGCTATGTCGACTGGCTCGTCCATCTTCACAGGAGTGTCCAGCTCGAGGTAAGATACATCTATCCCATGACCCCTTTCTAGCAAGAAATGCCGCTAACATTCCATGATAGCTTTCTGGCCAAAGAAAGAGAGAGGACCCGCTGACGGACGCCAACGCACTAGCAGGCTTCGCCGGTCTGAGGCCCAACTACTGGTAAAAAGGGCAGAGGCAAGGAGGAAGTGACTATGTGTGGAAGTAGGAGGCGCCAGTCGATCGAGCGGAAGTCTCGGAGGCGTGGGTTCAACTTTTTTTTGATGGTTTGAGCGTTGTCAGAACTGCATATACATTGGGTGTCCAGGGTTTCCGAAAAGAAAGTAGTAAACAACCATTCAAATTCACTTCCGGCAGACTGCTGAACGAGTCTGGCTAGCCTCTTTTGTGTTGAGGAGTAGTGTCAAGCAATCGCCCTGTTCACCCTCTTAGCACCCTATATTCCACGACTGCATCACGCCCTTTTCCTGAAGTGGGCATTGCCCTTGCTGCTCTGCATGCGACAAAGTCGCTGGTCGTGTCTTGGCGAGCGCTCAACCGTCAATCAGCCTGTCGACTGTCACGGACGTCATGGCATGCCAACCGTGTCACCGGCCAAACCATGGAAGGAAGCCAAGATGAGGCCAGGAAGACTCCATCTTCAAGGAAAATTTCGAAGATCAACGTCCCTACTTCCCAGGCCACTACGTGTGCGCTGACTCCCACGATGGCCACTGCCAAAGCCACGTCGTGGTCTCTTCGCCTCAGTATTAGCACTCCACCCGCGGAGACTAGACTGCAGCCTCCCAGCCTACCGGTCTTTCTTGGGAAAAGCATTGTCTCTTGATCTTGAGAGCCGTTCCGAGAGGCAACACTCCAGTCTCCCAAGCACAGCTATCATTATGTTTCATCTCAGTCAGGAGAGATCCTTCCTCGATAGCGAAATATACCCAAAAATGGAAGAAGTCGCGAGGAGACCTCGACTCGAACCCGCGACGTCTCG